GAAGAAAGGAGAGGAAAAGAGACAGGAAGAAGAGAAAAAGAGAGAGAAAGAGAGAGAAGGAAGGAAAGAAAGAAAGAGAGGGAGAAAAGAGTGAGAAGGAAGGAAGGCGGAGCTCTGCTCTGGGGCCAGCACAAACTCCAGTTCCCAGAATTCCAGAGCATGGAGCCCTGGCTGTTAAAGCGGGATCAAAGCGGGTTATCCCTGCAGCGTGGATGCTCCATAGGAATGGCGTTTCTGGATCCCTCCTCCATCCAGGAAAGGGTCTGGGGCCTCATCCCCATAGAAGCCCCCTTGAACTGGGAAGCAGCAGCCTTTCTTTCCCTCCAGAAACTGGGTTTGGAGGCAGCCCTGGGGCCCTGCAGGATGGAGCAGCCCCTGCCCTGCCTAAGGGCCCTTCCATTGCCCTGAGTTCAAAAACCTGCTGCGCTTCTGAAACTCCCTTGGGAAGAGGCATCAACCCTCCCTCCAGAACTGCAAATGCACCTGAGGAAGTGGACTGGAGTCTAGGAAGCTTCCTGCTGGCAACTCCTCTCTTTCAGATCCCTCTCCTACCTACTCCCCCCAGAAGTGTTTTTGGAAAGGGGCACTGGGAGGCAGGTCATTGGGAATTTGGGCTAGGAATTGTCTTGGTTTGAGTGTTGGACTAGGGCTCTGGAGACCAGGGTTCGATTCTCACCTGGGCCACCAAACCCACTTTCTCGAGTCACACTCTCTCAGCCCCAGAGGACGGCAAAGGCAAACCCCCCTCTGAACAAACCTTGCCAAGAAAACCCCAGAATAGGTTTGCCTTCAAGGTGCCAAAAGTTGAAAACACACAACACACACACATTCTCACACAGGTAGGTTTTTACCTGTGAGTAGTAGTAGTGGTAGTAGTCCCCTATAGACCTATGGAAAGACCGTGGATTTCACAGGGTTTTCTTAGGCAAGGAATCCTCAGAGGTGGTTTTGCCCGCTCCTTCCTCTGAAATGTAACCTACAGCACCTGGGATTCCTTGGCGGGCTCCCATCCAAGGACTAACCAGGCCTGACCCTACTTAGCTTCCAAAATCAGGTGGAATCTGGTGCCTTCAGGGTGTTTAGGCAATTTGCTGCCATTGTTTGGTGACCCTAAAGCAAACCTATCATGGCGTTCGCTTGGCAAGATTTGTTCAGAGGGGTTTTCCTTTGCCGTCATCTGAGGCTGAGAGTGTGCGACTTGCCCAAGGTCACCCATTGGGTTTTCATGACTGAGTGGGGATTCGAACCCTGATTTGTTGAAATTCATTTTGTTAGTTTTGGCCCATCTTCGTAATCTATTCATATCATTTTGAATTTTCATCCTGTCCTCTGGGGTTTTAGCTATTCCTCCTAATTTGGTGTCATCTTTTTTTGGGAGTTCCTGCATGACAGGCGGGTTGGACTGGATGGCCCTTGTGGTCTCTTCCAACTCTATGATTCTATGATCTGCAAATTTGAGAAGCATGTCCCCTATTCTTCCATGCAAGTCATTGATAAAGATGTTGAATAGCCAACTGGGCCCAGGACAGAAGCCCACTGGACACCCCAATGGTCACTTCTGTCCAGGAGCTCAAGTCACTGATAAAGACCTCATGTTTTTCTTTAAAACTTTTTGCAATCCTACCTGGAAATGCTGAATATTTTGAGTGGCTGAATTAGGGAACTAACATTAGAGAAAAGGAGGTTTCCCATGGCATCAGCTGCCTAATAGAGATCCCTTCCTTTTTTTAGTTGTTCAATCATTCCACTCCATTTGCCCCTGTAAAAATGCTTAAGGCAACCAACATCGGGGGAATATCAACAGCAAGAAGATAAACTAACCGACAAACAAGGAAGCGATATCGCAAGGAAATCAGATAAGAGCAAATAAAAATGGCAGCCAGCTAAAAACATAATTAAATTAGGAACACAGATTAAAACACAGAGCAGCGGAGCAAAACAAAACAAATCAGCGCAGTCATCCAAAGGCTAGTTTAAATAAAGACAAGATTTCGCCTGTCGGCAGCAAAATGCCAGCAATGAGGCAGCGTCAACGACTTTAATCTAAGGTGGGATTATTATTATTATTATTATTATTATTATTATTATTATTATTATTATTATTCTCTATTCCAGGGGATAAGCTTTTAAACAGTTAATGAGTGCAAAAATAAATGCTTCAACTGCAGTTTTCTTTTCGTTCCATATTTCAAAGCAAAGTGGTTCATGGGAAAGTCAGTTACTTTTCCAAGCAGATTATCTCAAAATATAGATTTTGCTCAAGCAATTAACTACGGGCATAACAAAGCCACTGACAAAGAATCTTTTTCCAAAGTCTTTTTAGGCTCATCAAGACCCGATTTCCTCCAGGATTCAAGTCTTGGATCTCTTCACAGGTACAAACATCTCTGACATATAATGCCATTCCTCCTCCTTTACTATTTGGCCTATTTCTCTTAAAAAGGTTATACCACTTTATTACTACATTCCAACCATGAGATTCATCCCACCGGGTTTCAGTGATGCCTATTATTTTGTTTTTGCCTTGCTGTGCTAGGAGTTCAAGTTCATCTTGTTTATTTCCCATGCTCTGTGCATTAATGTAAAGACAACTAAGATCATGGGACATCCCTTCTTGCTGCCTATGGACTTTATCACATGGGTAAAAGAGACGGGATAATAGTGCTATGCTCCCATCAATATCACGCAATAACAGGATGCTTTTCACACGACGTCACCATTATCCCATCAATAATGTGGCA